CCACTGCCCAGAATCCCGACAGCCGCGCCGGACGCGCAGTCTCCCGGGACCAGCGCAGGCTGCGATCCGACGGGCGGATGCACACTCGCAGACCAGCCGCTCCGAGGCGAAACCTCGCGGTTCCTCTTCCCTTCCCTGCTGAGACTAAGACGTGGACGGGCGCCGCGTAGATCCGGAGGAGGCTCCCAAATTGGAACCAGGCTTCCGCCTGCCCCCTTCCCTCCCTCCCCGCGGTCGGAAGAGCACCCCCTTCCCCGGCCGCTCTCCCAGCCTCCGGTGCTGTGAAACGCAGGCGCTGGGTCGCGGGCGGAGCTGAGGACAGGCCTTGGCTGGTCGCAGGATGAGCGAAGAGTTTGGTTTTAGCTGGGGGTTGTGCGGGCATCCTGCGAGGCCCTTCTCAGTCTGTCTCTCGGTGCTTGGTTGTCCTGGGGTGGGGCCCATCCGCCGAGGTGGGGACGGATAGGAGGAGCCGGTGGGCTGTACACATACACTTGTGGAGTCTCCTCGTGCCTCTGCCTACTCCGCCTTTGTCCTTCAGGTTTTTGCAGGCCAGTCCCGAACACACGCTAACTGTCCTGGCCTCTCTGTGACACAAGTTTCTTCCCAGCCTTCCTCACAGGCTTCTGCCGCCCCCCTCATCCTCATCCCCCCCTATCTGTTTGCATTAGGAGTCCCACGACCATGGCGGAATGTTAAGGTGAACCCCACCCCTTCTTACAGATGGGGACCCAGAGCCTGCTCTTGGGAACAGCCAGAGTAAGATTAGAACCCAGACTTGCAGTCCAGCGCTGTTTTCATTAAAAGGGTGGGTGAGTCAGGACCCCTGGCTCAGGAGCCGCCTCTCCGAAAAGAGGGTTTCAAGGCCAAACAGGTTTGTCAGCGGTGCTGTCTCCCTTTCCTGGAGATGCTCATTAGCTTATCAAAGACTCTGAGAAGTCCCGCTGTTACAGAAATAATTTAGTTTACTGTATTAACTGCTCCTGGGCCTGGAGCAGTATTCCTACCTTGAGGTTCCATGCATCCCTGTGCTGTCCGGGCTCTCATTGATGCCTAAGGGCCCAACCCATTGGCTGTGTTCTGTTTGAAGATTTGGGGAGCGCCTTCTCTTTCTTCCCCTGGGAATTTCTCTAGCAGAGGGAGGGGACCCACCCCATGGAGGAAGGAGATTGCTGCCCCTAGCCAGAGACCCGAACTGGGAAATATGAACATTCCTTTACATTGTTGGAGAAATGAAGCCAAAGTTGTTCAGATGGTTTTCCCAGTCTAAAGGAAAATCACCTGCAAGAGATCCCAGCACTGACCTGAAGCAGCTGGCAGGGTGGATCTCCCTTACCAAAGAGAAGAACCACTCTCTGACGCTGGGGTGACCTGCTGGCTGGGCCTGTAAAGTAAGACGCTTCTTGGTTTTCTGGAAGGGGTCATGGGCATTTGAATAAAAAGCACAGAGCTTACTCCTTTTCCAAAAGTTAAAGGGTTTTTATTCAGAGCAAGTTGGAGAGGTGACAGTAATAACCACAGTATCTATGGAGTTGTGAAGATTCAATCTTTTCGCTAAAATCCTTCAATGATCTGCTCTTTTATTTTTTCTTTCTTTTTTGTTTTGTTTTTGAGGCAGTCTTATTGTGTCACCCACACTGGAGTGCAGTGGTGTGATTGTGGCTCACTGCAGACCTCCCAGACTCAAGCCATCCTCTCACCTCAGCCTCCCAGGTAGCTGGGACTACAGGCACGTGACACCAAGCCTGGCTAATTTGTAAATTTTTGTAGAGACAGGGCCCCATTATATTTTGTATACTGGTCTTGAACTCCTGGGCTCAAGAGATCCTCCTGTCTCAGCCTCCCAGAGTGTTGGGATTACAGGTGTGAGCCACTGTGCCTGGCCCTGCTGTTTGAAAAGGCTCAAGCTTCTCTGGATTAGAAACTAGAAGAGGGGAGGCCATGTGTTTTCGTGAGCTTGTTTTTAAAGTTTAGGTGCACAGGTGTTAGATTTCTCTGTGCAGGTTGCAAAGGTGTAGTTTTAGGGTGTGTGAAGCATGAATGTAATTCTAGATATGTTGCCGTCAGAGCACCTGTGTAGCTCTACTATGTGGCTGGCACATCTCGAAGCATTTTACAGGTATCCATTGATTCTCTCAATAACCCTATTGAGGTGGGTTCTAATGTCATTCCCATATTCCGAATGAGGAAAATGAGTCCCAGAGAGGTTAAATACCTTGCCCAAGGTCTCCCAGCTAATGAGTGGTAGAGGTAGGATTTGAACCCTGGCAGCCTGGCCTCTTCATGACCAGGCTATACTCTATATAGTAGGGTATCAATACATGTTAGATACATGTTAATATATCTGGTTTTTAATTAACATGTAATGTACATGTTAATATAGCTGTTTTTTAAATTGTGGCAAAATATACTTAAAATTTACCATCTTAACAATTTTTAAGTGTATAGTTCAGTGGCATTAAGAACATTCACAGCTAGGCACAGTGGCTCATGTCTGTAATCCCAGCACTTTGGGGACGCTGAAGCTTGAGACTAGCCTTGGCAACATAGCAAGATCGTGTTTCTACAACAAGTTTTTAAAAATTAGCTGAGTGTGGTGGTGTGTGCCTGTGATTCCAGCTGCTTAGGAGGCTGAGGGTGGGGATCGTTTGAGCCCAAGAGGTCGAGGCTGTGGTGAGCCGTGTTGGTGCCACTGTACTCCATCCTGGGTGACAGCGAGACCCTGTCTCAAAAAGAATATTCATATTGTTATGCAGCCATCACCACCACCACCACCATCTATCTTCAGAACTTTTCTCATCTTGTAAAACTGAAACTCTGTACCCAGTAAAATCGTGGGGTTCTTTTGTTTGTTTTTTGTTTTTGTGTGTGTGTGTGTGTGAGTGAGACGGAGTCTCGCTGTCACCCAGGCTGGAGTCCAATGGCGTGATCTCAGTTCACTGCAACCTTCGCCTCCCGGCTTCAAGCCATTCTCCTGCCTCAGCCTCCCAAGTAGCTGGGACTACAGGCGTGGGCCAACACACCCAGCTAATTTTTGTATTTTTAGTAGAAACAGAGTTTCACCATGTTGGCTAGGCTGGTCTTGAACTCCTGACCTCAAGTGATCCACCCACCTCAGCCTTCCAAAGTGCTCAGATTACAGGCGTGAGCCCCTGCACCCGGCCAAATTGTGGTTGTTTTTGTTGTTTTTTTCTCTTCTCTGGGAAATTCTAGAACACTGATCCCAAAGTCCCCCAACTCCTTCAATGTCTCAGTTAGGCCAGGTCCCACTGCCAAGCTCCAGGAAGGGTAACGTTCCCTCAGCCCCAACTGATGCGGTGAGAACCTGGGGTGAGACACTTGGGGTGCCTTGGAAGCCCATTGACTTTGGCTCTCCTGTTGCAGGTTTCCATGTTGCTGAGGCCATGGAGATTCCCAGAGCTGGTCACACCAACCACTTTCAGGGCCCGCTGCCCTGGGCTGGCAACACCATTCTGGCCTGGGCCTGCAGAAACTTTCAGAGTCTTCACTGGCAGTAGGGGCAGATGGGGAGAGGAATGACCTCTGCCCAGCAGCTTCCTTTCCACACCATTCAATGGAAGAGCCCAGATGGGTGAAGACTGATTTTGCCTTAACTCAAGAGAATTCCTGTTCTCCTTGTGCTATGATTTGGACACAAGATTCTGGACACCTGGAACTTAGCTGTGTACTCTTGTCCCCTAAACAATGGGTTTGAGTTCCAGCCTTTATTCTTTCTTTCATTTTTCAGATCACCATCTAAGTTACATCTTTAGCTCAGGTCCATCCTTCTCAAGATCTCCTTCTTAGCCCCCAGCCCCTGGTGCTGTCTGTGGTCAGATGACCTTACTCAGGAGCAGATATCTCCTTGGCCGCCATGGAGCCTCATCCATCCACACGTGCCTGTAGCATTCCAGAGCTCAGTGCTCTTCTAGATGTGCCTTCCCGCTTGGCTTCCAGCAGCTTGTGCTCCCTCTGTTTGCCAGGTATGAGAAGGACGCGTAAGACCGCCCACGTTCACCCTCCTTCAAGGCCCTGTGCCATAGGGGTGGCACCTGACCTGCCCCCAGAACTTTTGGATACTGGAGGCAGTTGCATAGGCCTCTCTCTCTGGGTACCAGGACTCAGTCCAGCCCAAGACCACTCTGGGCAGCTCCCATCCCAGTCTAGGGCCATTTGCAGACCCAGGAAAGGATTTCTACAGTGTTCTATAAAAGCCAAAAGGGAGAGTGGATTTGGGAAGAGTGAGGGTGGTTGGGGAGAGGGGACCGATGTGCCTCATTGTTGAGTGGTGATTACAAATATGCTTTTCTGGATAAAGTTTGGTTGTTTGCTCTTGGCGTGTGTGTCTTCCGTCCTGGTCTTCTGCAGTATCCCTCCGTGTGAGGTCCTCCCATTCTGTCTCACTGTGCCTCACGCCCTGCTGCTGGCCTCTTTTCTGCCTCTCTGGCTTCCTCTTTCCTTCTAGGAAGGAAAGAGAGTGAGTTCACAGATGTCCAGTGCAATTAGGAGCCTGGACCAGGGGTTGCCTGAGGACAGAAACCAGAGGGAAGAAAACTGCCTGTGTCCCTGATGGAGGCTGGAGGAAATTCCAGAGGCTTTTGTCCCTGCTCTCAATGGGCCCTCTGTTACAGAGCTCCACTGCCTCTCATTCTGGGCGCAGAAAGACCGTGGTTGTGGAGCTAGAGTGTCCTGTTCTAGTCCAACCCCATCGCTTTACAGAAGGGGAAACGAAGTCCAGGGCATGGTGGCAACCTGCCTGATGCTACACAGCTGATGAGGGGCAGAACTGGGGTCTCCTGTAGCCCAGGCCCTGTTTTTTTCCCTGCATACCACTGTGGCCTGCTCTGGTGTTGCCGCCTGGGCCACACCCCACCTGCCTTTCCCCCCATTCCCCTCAGATTCTTTGCCCAGCCAGCTGCTGGCTACTGACGGATGCCCTGGAAAGGATGTGAGGGCAGAGTTAAAAGGCTTCCTCCCAGGCTCCTCCTCCCTGTGCCCCGGGCGTGAAATCTGCAGCCAGGAAACAGTATTTTTCAAAACTCACCTGGAACACTCCTCCTCCCTGTGCCCTGGGCGTGACATCTGCAGCCAGGAAACAGGAAGATTTCAAAACTCATCTGGAACAGCTCCAGGCTGGGATCTGATGCCACATGTGTGCACCACACCCACTCTTTTCCAAAGAACCATTCCAGTCCCTGTGCACACAAACATACACACAGGCACACACGCTGTCTTCATAATTTGGTTTGTGACTGGACAGTGGGTGGAGGAAAACACCATCAGCTGCCAAGGTCCCTCCCTTACTCCCCTCTTCCCTCTCCTGTCTGTCTGTGAATTTCAGGCAAAGTAAAAAGTGGCTCTGCTTTCCACAAAGGCTGGTAAGCCCCTGCTCTACTCTATTTTAGTGGTGGAGCGTTTTGCGGTTTAAAATGTGCTTCTCCCTGCATTACCCTATTTGATCTTCCCTGTAGTCTTTTGTTTTTTTGAGATGGAGTCTCGCTCTGTCACTCAAGCTGTAATGCAATGGCATGTTCTCAGTTCACTGCAACCTGTATCTCCCAGGTTCAAGCAATTCTGCCTCTGCCTTCCAAGTAGCTGGGACTACAGGCGTGCACCACCACGTCCCACCAATTTTTGTATTTTTAGTACAGACAGGGTTTCACTATGTTAGCCAGGCTGGTCTCAAATTCCTGACCTCACATGATCCACCCGCCGCAGTCTCCCAAAGTGCTATAATTACAGGTGTGAGCTACGGCACCCAGTCCCTTCCCAGTAGTCTTATAGGTTGGCATTGTTGCCCCCCACATCTCCTACCCCATTCAATAGCGGAAATGGAGCCCAGAGAGTGGAAAGGCCTTATCCATGGTCACACAGCTGGCTAGCGACAGGGCAGGGACTAGAAGGCAGAGGTTTCTTTAAGCGCTGTGGTCCTTTGGCAGGCTCTAAAGCTTATGGGGAGTTTCGTTTTTCTTCCAGGAGACCAGGTGTTTAGGAATGGCCTAATCTGGCATTTCCTGCTCAGTGCACTTTGAAGTAAGACACTGCTTCTCAGACATAATGAGCTCCTTTGAGTGGGAAACCTCAGGGTTTATGTCTATTACTTTTCCTGCTTTTCTAGGGATGGAGGTGGGGTGGTCAGCAGTAAAAAGCGAGAATGAATGAATATTTTCAGTGATCAAAGGAAAAAGCAGGAATATGAGACGGAAAAGTTTGGTTAGCATGATTTATTTACGTGTTTCTTGTTTGGTCACAATAGTTATTTGTAAAATAAAATAGCAATATATATCCATAAAAATATAATACCAATATACACCATCAAAAAACGTAAGCAGTATAGATGTGTAAAAAGTAAAAAGAGAAGCTGGGCCAGGTGCAGTGGCTCATGCCTGTAATCCCCAACAGTTTGGGAGACTGAGGTGGGCAGATCACTTAAGCTCAGGAGTTCGGGACCAGCCTGGGCAACGTGGCAAACCCTGTCTCTACAAAAAATATGAAAAAAATCAGCTGGGCATGGTGGCGTGTGCCTGTGGTCGCAGCTATTCAGGAGGCTGATGTGGGAGGATCTCTTGAGGTTGGGAGGTTGAGGCTGTAGTGAGCCATGATTGTGCCACTGCACTCCCACCTGTGCAACAGAGTGAGACCCTCAAGACAATAACAAAAAAGACAAAAAGTAAAAAGAGGCTGGGCGTGGTGGCTCACGCTCTGGGAGGCCGAGGTGGGTGGATCACTTGAGTTCAGGAGTTCGAGACCAGCCTGAGCAACATGGTGAAACCCTGCCTCCACCAAAAAATACAAAAATTAGTTGGGCATGGGGCCATGTGCCTGTAGTCCCCAGCTACTCGGGAGGCTGTGGCAGGAGAATTGTTTGAACCCGGGAGGCAGAGGTTGCAGTGAGCTGAGATCATGCCACTGTACTCCAGCCTGGGTAACAGAGTGAAACTCAGTGTCAAAAAAAAAAAAAGTAAAAAGTAAAAAGAAGTCATATGACCATCCTAATCTCCTTTTTTTTTTTTTTTTGACATGGAGTCTCACCCTGTCGCCCAGGCTGGAGTGCAGTGGCGCAATCTTGGCCCACTGCAAGCTCCGCCTCCTGGGTTCATGCCATTCTCCTGCCTCAGCCTCCTGAGTAGCTGGGACTACAGGCGCCTGCCACCACGCCCGGATAATTTTTTGTATTTTTAGTAGAGACGGGGTTTCACTGCATTAACCAGGCTGGTCTCAAACTCCTGACCTTATGATCCGCCTGCCTTGGCCTCCCAAAGTGCTGGGATTACAGGCATGAGCTACCATGCCCGGCCTTGACCATCCTAATCTCATACACTAGAGAAAAATCATTGTGTTGTTTTGTTTTGTTTTGTTTTGTTTTGTTTTGTTTCGAGACAGAGTCTTACCCTGTCACCTAGGCTGGAGTACAGTGGCATGATCTTGGTTCACTGCAACCTCCGTCTCCCAGGTTCAGGTGATTCTAGTGCCTCAGCCTCCCGAGTAGCTGAGATTACAGGTGTGTGCCACCACAACCAGCTAATTTTTGTATTTTTAGTAGAGACAGGGTTTCAACATGTTGGCCAGGCTGGTCTCGAACTCCTGATCTCAGGTGGTCCATCCACCAAAATTATTGTTAACTATTAACTCTCCTTCCTCTTTTTTCTTTTTGAGACAAGGTTTTCCTCAGTTGTGCAGGTTGGAATGCAGTGGTGTGATCACGACTCACTGTAGCCTTGACCTCCTGAACTCAGGTGATCCTCCCACCTCAGCCTTCCAAGTGGCTGGGACTACAGACACACGCCACTACACCCAGCAAATTTTAATTTTATTTATTTATTTTAGTAGAGACAGGGTTGTACCCTGTTGCCTAGGCTGGTCTTGAAGTCCTAGACTCAAACAATCCGCCGACATCGGCCTTCCAAAGTGTTGGGATTACAGGCATGAGCAACCTCGCCGGACCGCTCTGGTTTTTATAACTAATCAAACATTTATGGATGTGCACGCGTGCGCACACACACACAGACTCTTGTACAACTTGCTTTTTAAAATGTAACAATAATATAGTTCTAACTCTGTATGTCCATAGAAACAGTAGTCAGGGACTGCAAGAATTCTATGGGCTTTCTGGAGCCTTTATAACTTTCTTACACTGGTTAACTTTGTTAGTCCCTTGGCTGTTCCCTATAGAGATCTTAATAAAACCCGTAAAAGGAGGTGGGTCTTTTTCTAGCGACAAGGAAACCGATAGTAGGGGAAAGTGGTTCCCCAAGCCTGTGCCGTTTTTAACTCCTATCCTGCCAAGAGTAGCAAGGATGGGAGAAGCCGTGGAGTGGCTGCATCCCACTCCACAGCCAGTGTTGGGGACAGCAGCCCCAGGGACTAGGGTTAGTGGGGGCAGCTGGAAAGAAATGAGGAGGGCCTGAGACTTTCTGGGCCCCGTGGGGCAAAGTATGCTGGGGAGGTGGTCAGAACCCAAGAAGAGCACTTGGACATGCCCGGCAGGAGGTCTATGGGACCCACCCAGGCCAGCCTCAACAGCCTGTGGAAATTCCTGACTGGTTTCTAATCTTAAGGCCCTTCTGGGCCGGGCGCGGTGGCTCAAGCCTGTAATCGCAGTACTTTGGGAGGCTGAGACGGGCGGATCACGAGGTCAGGAGATCGAGACCATCCTGGCTAACATGGTGAAACCCCGTCTCTACTAAAAATACAAAAAACTAGCCGGG